CAGGTCTAGAGTCAGCTAGCCACGAATATTGTTGACCGTACCTTGAATGTAAGCATGGCTTAGCCCTCTGAATACTGGGGTAGATTACGGTGGGACAGCTTAATTCCACAATGGAGATTAAAGGTAAAAGCATCGCCTAAGACAACAGGTTACCGAGGCTCACCAATGTATGGATAAATTAAGGTACCCCTAGGGTTGAAGTGTAAGTAAAACAGGTGAAGGATTTCAAAATGGCAGAAAATATCCGGTGAAAAAAGTCTTCATAAATAATGGGCACCTATTAGATCAATGGTGATGCTTCTATGGAGCTAGCTGGTATCGTAAAAGTTTCACCTTTACAGTCCATATTTCGGAAGTCTACCGTAACCAATACTTTAATCAGGACCATGTCCTCGCAATTATAGCCCTCCGGTAACCAAACGTCTTTTATGTTAATATTGACCTCATGGGACAATCGCTGAGCTGAACCTCCAATGGGCATGATTGGCCCAATCAAGCCCATCCTTTCAATGCCGGATGGAACCTATTGGTCTTCAGGGTTTAAGTGAAGCTAGGAAGACGCCCCAATCACAAACCAGAATAGTAGCTTGCACTTCGCTCCATACTTACTCCTAACCTACTTTCGGCCCGAACTCTCCCTTTCCCCTCGCCATATCGCGGTGATACGGGTTCACCCCCCGTGTGCGCGTCATCGCCCGCCATAAATGGGCTCAGCATCAGCAGATCTGACAGCTCTCGTCACTCATAATGCACTCATGAAACGGGAATCTATTGCGCACCGGCAGCTAGCCAGCCACCCAGCCAACGTTGATCAATAAAAACGTCAATTAAACGGCATCGAAATGAAAAAAAAACGCATGAAACGTATAATTAAAGAAAAATGGCTCACATTTCCGTTTCCCGTCAATCTGCACCGACTCAGACAGATGGCGAGTTTTCTCGAAATTCAATGGTTTCGTTACTTTCACGGTACCATCTGGTAATACGGTGACATGTTCTCGTACTATAGGAGCTGCTGCGATCACTTCACCAGCGTAGAGTGGAATTCGCTGAAACACAGCAGTACTTTCCCACGACTCTGGTAGGACAAACAGGAGTAGTTACCTTTGGGAAGTCAGCGACAGAATTCTCTTTCAGCTTGACTACAACGGGTTCAGACAGTTGTCTTCGTAGTCGATTCGTTGAACCATTAACCTCCCGTACCGCTTTCTCATCCTTGACCACGACAGTAACGGTGGCAGTGGATTCCTGAAAAATGATTTAAAAATGAAGGGCTACAAGTCCTGAAAGCATTTTATGAGAGCGGAAATGAGGCAACTTTTTTTTTAAGCCGCTGACACGGTCACTTTCAAAGCATAAAAAAGACATGTAAGGTTCAATTCTAAAGCAGTTATAAAGGCCGCTAGCCTCTCTACGTTAGTTGAAGGCATGTAGCACGATAATCTGGCACTAAAATGCTAGCAGGGTGATAATAGTGGTGAAGTATGGCGAAAAAACGACAGTGAAACACGTCAACCCATCTCCTGCGAAGAAAAGCCTTTGTTTTTCGAGACTCGAAAAGCAATTTCGGACGAGTTTCCGTAGGCATCTTGCCAATAACCGCTACGGTAGATACGGCTGCACTTATGTACTCATATATCCATGCAGCACCGTAGCCGCTTCATATCAGTCCCTTCGCTTCATATTTTATTTCGCGAATTGAAGCGTTAGGAGGCTCAGGTCCGTTGTCCGTTTGTGGGCAGGCGAGCGCGGGGGCGTCCGTGTCGTAGCTGGCAGATTGTAGGGCCTTCATGTAGGTACCTTCCTCAAGAGAAGGCGTTACGACAGCGCCTGCTCGCTAAGGAGCGCGGAAATTCCACCCTGCCTAGCGTATCAAAATGCTATTCGTCCTATGGGATTGGTGCCGTGGCGTAACTGTCTTTCAATAACATGTGAATGAGTCATTGAAATTTCACATGAACGTCCAAATCACAACTGCTGAGTTTCACCCGTGGTAGCGCTTTTCCTCAGCCGAGAGCCGAACGTGGTTTTTGGACTTCTTCAACAATCTTCATAACGTATAGTTGGGACTTAAAGGCACATTACCAGCATCATAACCGAAGGGGCGGGCAGAGAACCATGGCATTTGTCATGTTGAGCCTTTCTTCTGAGGCGGTAAAGCGAAGAGATAGACGTCTTCCCTCGCCCACGGTAAGCAAAATTGAATTCCTTGTCAAAAAATGGATTGTCAAAATATGGAATATGAAAGTGCTTATGGATCGCTACTCAAGCAGAATCTGGCTAGGTTCCAAGAGATCTTCAAAAATCTGTAAAAGGTCATTTTTCGGCTTGTTGAATGGGCAGACCCTCAAAAATAATAACCAATCCATGTCAACTGAAATCGTTTTGTGGACTCTCTGGCTATACCTGAACATCGAGATTCAGTTTCAGTATCATTGACTTGAATTTACCAGACCTTTTGGGATTTAATCTTCAGATTAAATACAGAAGTAAAGTCTCGAATTCAGAATGTACATAAACCAGAAAAACGCGACTCCCTAGTAAACAATTCCAGTTTTTAAAAATTTATGCCAAACCGTGGAAAAAATGTTTTTCTGAATAAGGGTAACAATATAAGAAGGTTCATCACCTGTCCGATCGAATTCTTCGCGATTACAACAAGTTCATGTTTGCCCGGTGGTACAGATGATTTTGAGAAGATATCACCAGAAAACGGTGACACGTCAAAGTGCGAGTTCTCGTCTGCCAGCTGATAAGTCACGATTGATTTTGGGGCCCTGAAAATAAGCGGGATTTCGTTTTGTGAAGAAGCATAGTGAATCAGTTAAGCGTGTTTCTCAGTATTTCTTTGCCTGCTCTAATGGCAAGTGGCCTTGAAAGTCCAGCTTAAATGTAGCGCACCCTGCTGATTATCTGCTCCTATGGCTTTTCCACAGGATTATCTGTCCAGAGAGCAAATTGTTGTTCACTTGGAGTAACGTCTGTCCATCTCTGGCCAACGGTTGGAGGATATCAAAATTAGCTGCAGTTATCGAAGCGGCGAGGCTTAATCTCATTGAGTATCGTGGAGAGTGAGCGCGAAAACAACATCGCCTCAGCTCATTCATTAGTGCCCACATGGACAGGCACGGATCGACCGACGATCCTTGGACGAACATCATTAGGTTGAAGGGGATTTGAGCAGCATTGCTTGGAGAACAAGCGATTGTCCTTGAAGGCGATACGGGGGATCCGCGATTCTAAAGCACCGCGAAGCTTGTAGAAGGAATTCGATCCTAATCCTGGTCTTCGGGCTGCATAATCAGGTCTAATTTTGGTCACTGATCATATCTTTTGTTGAGAAAATGAGACTTCTGCCGTGGTTCTTAAGGCCTTTTGGCTCCGTTTGCGTGAGGGTGCCCCCTGACCCGGCAAATTGGAACAGATGTAGTATACAAAATGAAACAGGTACCATTTCGTAGCTCAATAAAAGCTCACAGAATAGTACGGAAAGGTCCAGTTCATTTACAGGAGTTCACAATCCTGCCCCTCCCCCA